CCAATACTCGAAACTCCGTAAGAGTAGACTCCGGGGGTGGACGAGTAACTGGGAAGGGGACATGAGAATAGCTGACACAGCAAAAATTGTGGCATCTGAGGGATGGGCTAGGTGTCTTGGAGACATGGAAGGAGCAGGTAACAATGATGGAGGGCAAAGAAAGGCCTCGGGAACTGTATAAGAATTCGAATGGACAGGCATCAGGTAGGCACCCCTTTCCATTAGTGAAGGAAACGATCGCAAGAGTAGGTTGTAAAACAGTCAGGTCACAAATATATCAAAACACAGCCTTCAGCTAGATGACGGGGATAGTCATTAAGGCATTTCATGGTGATGTGTTTGAAAGTCCGTGAGACTATTTCGCCAAACACCCGCACCTAGAAGAACCTTATGATGACGTTTCGGTCAGTTTTGTACCACTGTCAATTCTCTGCTAAGTGCGAGTTTTTTTTTTTTTTGAAGTGTTCCACTCACGGTACTGTGACATAATATACTCATCCGTGAAACTACCTTAGTGGTACGTCGCAAGGCTAGTACAAAGAATGTCTAACTGCTCTATTTAAACTGCAGATCCTGAGAAATATATGTAGCTATTGTGCAGGATAGGAGAGGAGACGTAAGGCTGGCGTGAGTACAGGGACTGGTCAGGGCTGCCGAGTTCATCAAGGAACTGGAAAATGGAGCCGGGGGCGGTGACGTGATGACAAGCACAAACTAGAAGTCGTTCTCGAAGATTGTTCACTGTGAAGACAGCTTCAATATGATTAAACTACAGGGATCAAGTCTCGGCTCCTGACCCGTTTCTTCGCTGGTCACTACTAGGTTCACTCCTGGCTTCGAGAACCTCATCGTACCTCTTTTAAAAGCTGTGTATGGATCCTGCCTCTATCACTTCATTCTTCAGGTCGTTCCACTTCCTGACTATTCTAAGGCTGAAGAAATACTTCCTACGGCCTTGTGACTCATCTGTATTTTGAATTTCCAGCTGTGTCCTCATGCTCCGGTTTCCCATTTCTCAAACAATCTGCCTCTACTCATTCTGCCAATTTCTTTTACTATTCTGTACGTTATCATATCACTCCTAGTTCTTCTGTACTCGTGTCATCAAGTTCAGTCCCCTTAACCTTTTCTTATAGAACGTACCCTCAAGCTCCGGGGCTAATCTTGTTGCAAACCTCTGCACTCTCTCCAGTTTCTTCAGAATAGTCGGTACTGGTATACAATCTGCTGTGTAGGTATGCGGTTTACTGTGTAGGGACATGCTGCAGTGAATGTACAAGTGCCCTGATCCCTCAAAGTGTGGTGACAATTGGCTGGGTGACGGGTGGGGTGGTCCGTCATACACTCACTACTGTTTGTGTACAGTGTACAGTGCCTATTTAGTAAAGGTGTCACAAAGTCAGCGGAAAAATAAACACATAAGCAGAAGAATGTGATCCCTAATTAAAAACGTTTCGCCCACACAGTGGGCTTTATCAAGTCACAAACAGATCTGTTTGTGACTTGATAAAGCCCACTGTGGGCGAAACGTTGTCAAAAAAGGATCACATTATACTGCTTATGTGTTTATTTTTCCACTGTCGGTATTTTGTACCATTTACTTCCGTCGCAAAGTCAGCTTGAAATTAGCTTTAGCGTCACCCTGAACGAAATTATACGAGATAATTTAAAAAATGGCATTATATTCTATAAATTTACAACAAATATAAAAACTCATGAGAGAGAGAGAGAGAGAGAGAGAGAGAGAGAGAGAAGAGAGAGAGAGAGAGAGAGAGAGAGAGAGAGAGAGAGTGAGAGTGAGTTTAGCGAAACTGTATGTCAACAATGTGTTGCCACTATTCTAAATGAGTCACATAATGGAAACAAAAGCTAGCTGTGTTCCCCAGTCACACGCTACATACATAGTGTTAAAATCCGTCAGCCTTCGGGTGGAAAAAGAAAGTTGGTTGGGTGAACGAGCCATAACAGCGCGGTGCTAACACACAAGCCTCGGGGGCTTACCATGTGTAGTGCACAACAGTGACCTGCGCAATGTTGTTCAGTCCAGCGGTGATGACCACCTTGGTGAAGCTCCGGGAGACAACAGGTCTCGATTTGCGAATTATGCGATGTCTCATCTTGGTTTCTCTCTCTCTCTCTCTCTCTCTCTTTATCCTAATATCAGGTTGTGTTAAGTGATGACACCCATCAACTGACTGAACCCAACGTCCTTGACACAAATGTAATATAATTAAAAAAGCATAACTCATTACCACTGAAATCAGATTTAAAAAAGTAAATAGTTTATTACCACTCTAATTTGCTTAGTTGTCAAAATTTTGAGGCCCGGTCCTTTGACCCATTATGTGTATCTGTGATCTTTTAACTACCGCCCACAGGATGGACATGGGATGCTTAATCAAGATATTAAACTAATCTGACTCCTAGTGACAGGCAATCATTCACCTCTGCCATCAATGACGTTTTATATTCATCTTATATAGCTTTTACTTTCTCGCGCTTATATCCTGTAGTTTTGTTAGTGCTGGTAACACTATCTCAAGGAAGTTGTTGAAACACTTCCTCTCACCACAATATAACCAGTGATGTGCCCAATGAGGCACTTGTCATGGTCCAGTCGGTACGTCTGCTCCAGACACTCACTGCATTTAATCAGACCAATCAGTTATTCAGTGTACCAGGCCTAGCAACTCCGGGTACTCATAGTGGCAAGGAGAAATGAACTTCTAGTCTGTGACATCTCTCCGGCAGCGGCAGCCCCAAAATTCCTATGCTGGGGGCGCTTAGAGATGACTGTCAGGCTGCAAATGGGGCTTAGGAGACTAACCTGTATACCTGGAGAGGGTTTCAGGGGTCAGCGCCCCTACGGCCCGGTCTGAGACCAAACCTCACGGTGGATCAGGGTCAGATCAACCAGGCTGTTACTGCTGGCCGCACGCAAACTGACGTACGAACCACAGTCCGGCTGGTCAGGTACTGACTTTAGGTGCCTGTCCAGTACCTTCTTGAAGACAGCCAGGGGTCTATTGGTAATCCTCTTTATGTATGCTGGGAGCCAGCTGAACAGTCTTGGGCCCCCTGACATTATTGTGTTGTCTCTCGGTGTACTCGTGGCGCCCCTGTTTTTCACCAGTGGAATGTTGCATCTCCTGCCGACTTGTTCTGAAGTCAACATTATTATTTTTACTATTTTTATTGGAAGCTAAAGGAATTTGGGGGACTGAAGCCCCCCCAAGCCCCTCCCTCGGGGCTGCCCCTACTCTCCGCCCTACAAGACAAGACAAGAGAGTATAGGTAAGACCCTTGTGGGGTGAGCGGGGAAGTGGGGATAGTGGAAGAGCAGGCTGGTGAGAGGAAGGTTGAGTGGAAGGGATAGTACCAGGGCTTAACCCAGTGGCTAAACTCTCCGCCCTTAGATCACTGACTCCGACCGGTAAGCCAGGTTGGAGTCAGTGATTCGACCTGGTTTAGATTTATACAATTGCTTATACAATTGTATAAATCTACATTTTACATAAATTTGTATAAACTTATACAATTGTTTTACATAGTAACATGCATAAATTACCTAGGATAACCTAATAGTCAAAGATCTGTCATAGATTCAACACCTCAGAACTGGTCATCATATTACAAAGAACCGTGTCATAATATTTTTCCTCTCGGATGCAGTAACAACAACGGTCTGAAGACAGTTCCGCATCACTCTAGTACCAGTTCTTTTAACTATCATTAAGAACCACTGCCCCTCCTTTACCTCTCTGCAACTAATGGTTCTCCACCCACAAATACAACCTTGGTTGTACTCGAGGGGGGGGGGGGACATGTTTGAGCTTCCAGAGGAACGTACTTGACAGATTTCATAAAGCCAATATCTGGCGAAACCGTAGCTTACCAGATTTAACCTGTTTTTCCAGTTTTTACATATTTTCTGCTTGTATTTGCATACCTGCACTATTAATGGGGTAAAATTAACATGGTGACTAAGGTCATATATAGATACTGTTTGTTGTGGTGAGATTGCACTTAGGATATGCTAGGTTAAGTTAAATATATTTTGCTGTGTTATATTTCTCTTTACTAAAGAATCACGCTTAACTGAGTGTCACAAATTGAAGCCGTAGTGAGTTAATATATTTTTTATGTAGAAAATCTACAAATGATTTTACAAACAGTAGTGTAAATCTCAAAGAGCACACAGGTGTTGTGTTCGTACATACATACCGTATTACATAAATTTAGTCGAGCCTAGTATGCAGTGCCTCGTGGCCTGGTGGTAAAGCTTTCGCTTCACACGGCGAGGGTCTGGGTTCCAGCGAGGGTAGAAACACTGGGCGTGTTTCTTGACACCAATTGTCTATGTTCCCCATCAGCAAAATGGGTACCTGCGTGTTAGTCAACTGGTGTGGGTCGCATCCTGGGACAAAACTGACCTAATTTGCCCGAAATTCTCTGCATAATAAGCGGCTTTCTATATAGTAGTATGTTAATGATGTCAGCTAGGACTGTATACCTTGTACATGTAGAAATAAAGATATTTATTTATTCATTTATTTTCTCATCTTACACCCCCTCAAGAAAGGTTCCTTGACGCTGGTAAGCGGCTCTTGATCTTGGGAATTGGATCTGTGCTCCAGTTCCCTGAATTAAGCCTGAATACCTTCCACATCCCTCCCCACAGGCGCTCTATAATCCTACGGGTTTAGCGCTTCCCCACTGATTATAATAATCTCGCCTCACACAGTGTCTTCGGTTTGATCCCCGATAAGTGTCTACGCACTGAGCGTGTTTTCTTACATGTACCTACTGTCCCCGCTCACCTAGCCAGTAAGTAGGTACCTGGGTGTTAGTTGACTGGTGTGAGTCACATCCTGAGGGACAAGATTAAGGACCCCAGTGGAAATACGATAGACAGTCCTACGATGACGCACTGCCTTTTCTGGGTTATCCTGGGTGGCTAACCCTCCGGGATTAAAAATCCAAACAAAATCTTATTTTACCTTATGGGCGCTCTGACCAGGAAGGTGAACGAATGGTCTGTGGTCAGTCGTCACGTGAGGTAACAGGCCCTGAGCTGCTTTGGGGATTAGTGTGGACGGGTACAAAGCCATGGCTTGCTTTTGCAGTGTTCTAAAAATTGAGGTTGGAGAGTTGAAGGAGGAAGTCTTGCTTCTCCAAGAGGAAATTAGGAGGCTGAAGGTTCACCTCAACGGGGTTGGGAGCCAGTGTGAGGTGGCTGATATGGTGGAGGGGAATGAGGCTACCAGCAGCGAGGCGCAGTTTGTCTCTCGCTGCGAGGAAGCTGTAGGTGGGGAGGTAGCAACGGCTACCAGCAGTGAAGTGCAGTCCAGCACCTACTACAAGTGGCAAGTGGTTCCCAGTAATGGGAAGAGCATCAAGATAAGGAAAGTTAAGAGAGAAGATTTGAAGGTACGAAATCGCTTCTCTGTTCTTCAGGATGAGTGTACTTCAGTGGCCAGTGAAGGTAAAGGTACTACTTCCCCTGCAAATGGAGGTATGCGCATACTTGTGGTTGGTGACTCACAGGCACGATATATGGACTGTGCCTTCTGTAATAGGAATAAGAAGGTAAGAGATAGAGTGTGCTTCCCAGGAGCTGGTGTTAGTGACTTAGTCGACAGGTTGGATAATATCATGTCAGGTAATGGGAACAAGCCTATTATCTGTCTCAGTGCTGGTGGAAATGATATTGGGAAGGGTAGGAGAGAAGAGCTGCTAGATAAGTACAGGTCAGCTATAGATTTAATTAAGTCTAAGGGAGGGGTCCCAATTATATGTAGCATCTTGCCTAGAAGGGGAGTGGGCAATGAATGGTTGTCTAGGGCAATTGGTGTAAATTGCTGGCTAGACAGATACTGCAAGGAACTTGCAATCCCATTCATTGACAACTGGGACAACTTTTATGGCAAACATGATATGTATGCAAGGGATGGTGTACATCTTTCTGGGGCAGGGGTGGTAGCTCTTGCAAACTCAATCGAGAGGGCCATTGCTGAAATGCCTAGGATTTTAAACTGATAGAAGATAGAGGTATGGGTGTGTGTGTGAAACAGTCAGGTTGCAACACTAGGGTTGTAAACAGTAAATGTATAAAAGACATTCATCATGAAGTTATAAATAAAGACAATAGATCATGTCAGCAAACAAAGGGAGACAGCAGAGGGCAGCAAGGGACTAGCTCCCTTAAGGTCTATTATACTAATAGCAGGAGTGTAAGAAATAAGATAGATGAGCTAAGATTAATTGCAAGTGCAGGAAACATAGATATCATTGCTATAACAGAGACCTGGCTCAATCTGAAAGATAGAGAGATGCCTTCTGAATGTCACATACAAGGCTATAAATTATTCCACACTGACAGGGTCAACAGGAAGGGTGGTGGAGTAGCGATGTATGTCAGAGACAATTTAAAGTGTTGTGTTAGACAAGATATAAAATTAGAAGCGTCAGCCAATGAATCTGTTTGGTTACAGCTTCTCGAGGGCCGTGAAAAACTAATTTTGGGTGTGATTTATAGGGCCCCAAATCTTGATAGGGAGTGCGGTAAACTTGTATGGGATGAAATTCGTAAGGCCTCTACATACGAAAATGTTGTGATAATGGGAGATTTCAACTATAGACAGATTGACTGGAGCAATTTGACAGGAAATTTAGAATCCAGTGACTTTCTTGATACGATTCAGGATTGTTTTTTAAAGCAGTTTGTGACATAGCCAACTAGAGGAAATAACCTGCTTGACTTGGTTCTTGCCAGCAGGGAAACGCTAATTAATAATCTTGAGGCTAATAATGAGCTCGGGGAAAGTGATCACAAATCACTCAGTTTTAATATATCATGGAATTCCCCTAATAATGGCAATCAAGTCTCTGTCCCTGACTTCCGCTTGGCTGATTTCATAGGACTGAAAAATTACTTGGGTGAGCTGAACTGGAATGACCTGACTATGGGTCAGGTAGGTGGTGATGGTTGCGGATATGACATTTTCCAGAGCATAGTTCTAGCTGCTCAGACAACTTACGTTCCAAATAAGGAAATCAGATCAAGCAAAAATGATCCTAAATGGATGAACAATAGATTAAAACATCTCATTGGTCAAAAGAGAGGCATATATAGGCAAATCAAAAGAGGAGAGGTGAAATTAAGAAATCAATATATTCAGTTAAAGAGAGAAATAAAAAAGGGAATAAGAAAAGCAAAAAGAGATAATGAGGTTAAAGTTGCAAGAGAATCGAAGACTAACCCAAAAGGATTCTTTCAGGTATACAGAAGTAAGATCAGGGACAAGATAGGCCCACTCAAAAGTTCCTCGGGTCAGCTCACTGACAGTGATAAGGAAATGTGTAGAAGTTTTAACACATACTTCCTCTCAGTTTTTACACAGGAGGATACCAGCGATATTCCAGAAATGATAAATTATGTAGAACAGGACGATAATAAACTGTGCACGATTAGGGTCACAAGTGACATGGTCCTTAGGCAAATAGATAAATTAAAACCTAACAAATCCCCAGGCCCTGATGAACTGTATGCAAGGGTTCTAAAGGAATGTAAAGAGGAGCTCAGCAAACCTTTGGCTAATCTTTTCAACATATCACTATAAACTGGCATGGTGCCAGATAAGTGGAAAATGGCAAATGTGATACCTATTTTCAAAGCAGGTTGACAGGTCCTTAGCTTCGAACTATAGACCAATAAGCCTAACCTCCATAGTGGGAAAATTTATGGAATCAATAATTGCCGAGGCAGTTCGTAGCCACCTTGAAAAGCATAAATTAATCAACGAATCTCAGCATGGTTTTACAAAGGAGCGTTCCTGCCTTACGAATTTGTTAACTTTTTTCACTAAGGTATTTGAGGAGGTAGATCATGGTAATGAATATGATATTGTGTATATGGACTTCAGTAAGGCTTTTGACAGGGTCCCACATCAGAGACTTTGAGGAAAATTAAGGCACATGGAATAGGAGAATTTTTTCCTGGATAGAGGCATGGTTGACAAATAGGCAGCAGAGAGTTTGCATAAATGGGGAGAAATCAGAGTGGGGAAGCGTCACGAGCGGTGTTCCACAGGGGTCAGTGTTGGGCCCCCTGCTGTTCACAATCTACATAAACGACATAGATGAGGGCATAAAGAGCGACATCAGCAAGTTTGCCGATGACACCAAAATAGGCCGTCGAATTCATTCTGACGAGGACATTCGAGCACTCCAGGAAGATTTGAATAGACTGATGCAGTGGTCGGAGAAGTGGCAGATGCAGTTTAATATAGACAAATGCAAAGTTCTAAATGTTGGACAGGACAATAACCATGCCACATATAAACTAAATAATGTAGATCTTAATATTATGGATTGCGAAAAAGATTTAGGAGTTCTGGTTAGCAGTAATCTGAAACCAAGACAACAGTGCATAAGTGTTCGCAATAAAGCTAATAGAATCCTTGGCTTCATATCAAGAAGCATAAATAATAGGAGTCCTCAGGTTGTTCTTCAACTCTATACATCCTTGGTTAGGCCTCATTTAGATTATGCTGCACAGTTTTGGTCACCGTATTACAGAATGGATATAAATGCTCTGGAAAATGTACAAAGGAGGACGACAAAGTTGATCCCATGTATCAGAAACCTTCCCTATGAGGATAGACTAAGGGGCCCTGAATCTGCACTCTCTAGAAAGACGTAGAATTAGGAGGGATATGATTGAGGTGTATAAATGGAAGACAGGAATAAATAAAGGGGATGTAAATAGTGTGCTGAAAATATCTAGCCTAGACAGGACTAGCAGCAATTGTTTTAAGTTGGAAAAATTCAGATTCAGGAAGGATATAGGAAAGTACTGGTTTGGTAATAGAGTTGTGGATGAGTGGAACAAACTCCCAAGTACAGTTGTAGAGGCCAGAACGTTGTGTAGCTTTAAAAATAGGTTGGATAAATACATGAGTGGATGTGGGTGGGTGTGAGTTGGACCTGATAGCTTGTGCTACCAGGTCAGTTGCCCTTAAGCCAATGTGACCTGACCTGACTAGGTTGGGTGCATTGGCTTAAGCCGGTAGGAGACTTGGACCTGCCTCGCATGGGCCAGTAGGCCTGCTGCAGTGTTCCTTCGTTCTTATGTTATTATAAGGAGCACTGCGGCAGGCCTACTGGCCCATGCTAGGCCCGTCAACTCACAGCCACTCATGCACTTACTGAACCTATTTAACAGATGAAATTGCACTATAGGTAACCTTCATCTAGACACGTTTTCGCTGTGCAACAGGTTGATCTCAACAATAGAATACACACTAAGATAGGGCTACTATGCAGGAGCGATGAGATCAACGCAGCGGTGAGCTTGTATTGAAGACAGACTGGTATCTCGACTTAAGTTTTTTTATAAGTGTGTTGCAAGGAGTGTAATTGGAACTCTACTTGGTACCATGGTGATGGTGTAATGAAGCTACTGCCAAGTGATTATTTCGTCATCTTTGATAATAGAGCTTCGACCATTGCATTATTGGGTGACTTCCCTGTTGAGAACACTTTTTCGCCTGTGCAACAGGTTTTCTCAAATCAATAGAATAAATACACTTAAGATAGGAGCTACTATAGGCAGGAGCGATGAGATATCAGACGCAGCGGTGATGCTTTGTAGTTGAGAGACAGACTGGTTAATCTCGACTTTAGGTTTTTTTAATAAGTGTGTTGCCAAGGATGTGGCTAATTGGAAACTCCTGACTTGGTACGATGGTGATGGATGTTGAAATGGAAGCTACTGCCAAGTGTTTTTCTGTCATCTTACTGAATAATAGCTTAGCTTCCGACCATTTCATAAATATTGGTGAGACTTCCTGTGTTGAACTGAATCACTGTTTCAACTGTGTCATGGAGGCTTACCTGTGTTCATAGATCTAACTGTGTTAGGTTTAAAGCATGTTAGGTCTTAACGTGTCTCTGAGACCTAACAATACCTTTGAATGAACACAAGTAACAATGGTACTCATCCGGGACTGATAACTTTAACAGTGGTTGCTTTCACCATAGATATTTTCACAAACATTTAACGAAATGGTCAGAAGCCCAGCTACTCACCAGGGAAGGTGACAGATTTAAGAGAAAATGCTTGTCAGTTGCCCCAGTCTACACTAACTTGCCATGATTGTTAACAGATCTACCTGGAGTTCATTACTTTTGTAACCAGTTGAGCTATCATAACTTTGAGATCCAGTCCCTGGACCCATTCCCTGTAATCTTTTGACTACTGCCCACAGGATGGATATGGGGTGCATAATAAACATATTAAACTGAGTTGCCCTCATCTCCACGTCCAGCACCATCGTGCAAAATCAAGAACATTTTCCAATCGTGGAGACAAACAAACTATTAAGTTTGAAATCATCCCCTCCTGATCAGCATCATTGTCACATGACCTCTCATCGCTAATGCCTAGTAAATAAGTTTATTTACGTACAGGTACACATAAGTAGTTACACAAATTTAGGTGATGACAATTATCATACACAGTAACACGTATAAATTACCTAGAATAAACCCCCCCAAAAATGTCGGACAAATTACTTATTTCCACTGGGGTCTTTGTAATAGATTATTACAAGATATATTCCACTAACTTGAAAAAGCCTGTTGTATAGGTGAAGCGTTGCCTAAACAAAGTTTTCTATAAATGCACTGTCTTATTACATACAAGCCGTCAGTATTAATACACTATTATTTGTTTTAAACCAACTTACCATTGTAACTTATCAATAAAGTTCTTAACGAAGAGGTAAATTCTCCAAGTGGGGCTAACCTCCTAGTTCATAATCACCTACACCCGTCACTATGTACCACAAGAAGTGTACATTCAACTGGAGGTATTAAACAGTTACACACAAACACTGAATACTGTCACTATCGAGAGGCTTTTCTCAATATCCTTCCTGCAGTGAATACAGCTTGAGACTGCAGGTCCCTGAGTCCTGGAGTGCAGGACACCAACTGCTGCTGCTGCTGCTGCCAGCCTCTGTTACTGCGTTAGACTTTAATACTATCGCCTGTACGTGGGTCATTAAGTGTACAATTCACCTGTACACTAGTAGTGAGAATATACTTTAACCCTTAAAATGGGATTAAATTCAATTTATGTTCAGAGAGAGGTTCCTCTCACTGTATATACACTGTTAGCGAAAAATTGGTATTATTATCAGGTATCACCAGACGGTGCTTCCAGATAGTGAGGAATGTACACTTACCAGACCAGTCCTTGCAATTGCACCGTGGTTTTTTTCAACGTGTATATGCAACACAATGTTTGTAATAATATATATATATATATATATATATATATATATATATATATATATATATATATATATATATATAATATATATATATAATATATATATATATATATATATATATACGTATATATATAAACATGTGGAAGAAATCACAATAAAACGTGTAATTGTAAGGATGAAAATACCAGTGAAAAATAAAAAATTAAATTTGAGCGCTTTTATGTGCTTACACTATATATCTTCCCCTGAAGATGTGTGTGTGAGCAGCTAAAAGATACCTAATGATTGAAGCTACAGAAAGGGAAGAGGATGATTTCTTGTACAGATAACATTCGTGTAGCATTATTGAAAGCTGATCCTCTCTTTAATGTTAATGTAAATAGCTCAGTTTACCTTATTCCTAGTATATTTCCTTTTTACTGTAACTGATTTTTCACACATTTTCTTAGCAGTTTCAACTTTTAAAGCTTAAATTATAAGATATCACAAGGACACCAATGTAAATAAATCACTTTGACTCTTTTGGAGTTATCCTGGGATAATTTACAGTGTATGACAACTATACTTATGTGTACCTGTGCCTAAATAAACTTACAGTGATCAGTGCTCACGGCGTTTTCTTAGAAAAGATGTCTTAATTAACATTTCTTAGAAAAGATATATCTAAACATTTCGAGGATTTCCCCACACAGGAAATGATTTCCGGCAGAAAAGTAATTTTCTAACTCATTTTGCATACTAATTTATTTCCCGCATGCGGTAAACATGACGGTACCTTATTCGTGTGTAATTTTCAAATTCAAATTCAAAGTTTATTCTCTATAAAGATTACAATGTTAAATTTACAGAATTTGGTTGTTGTGTGGTTTACATGTAGTTAAATAATGATTACAGAGTGTACCACTAGAACGCCTAGCATGGCTAGGCATTTCGGGCAGACTTAGTTTAATTCTTTATTTTAAAATATTACAAATTATGAGGTAAGTTGGTATTATGGCTAAGTGACTAAATACTAGTTTGTGAGTTTAGCAATGTGAATGCTTTTGTTTTGGCACAGTACATAGTTTACTGCTGCTTCTTGATAGGTAATGTGAGTGCAAGACCCAGCGTTTTGGTTTTTGTGTTTAAGGTTCTGGCTAAGTTCATTAATGCCACACAGTGAACTTACCACAGCGGAAGAGATTAAGTTTAGCTCTGAGTACAACTACATGTACAGAGATGGAAAAAAATCAATGTAGCTTCATTTCTTTTTATTAAAACATTTAAATATAACCACAATGTATGGTTACCCTTATCTATATGTCGCTTTACAAGACCAGAAATTAACAACTTATCTAAATTCATCACACAGGATAGTTTCCCTGTCATGCTCCATTACACAGGATAGTTTCCCTGTCATGCTCCATTACACAGGATAGTTTTTCTGTCATGCTCCATTACACAGGATAGTTTCCCTGTCATGCTCCATTACACAGGATGGTTTTTCTGTCATGCTCCATTACACAGGATAGTTTTTCTGTCATGCTCCATTACACAGGATAGTTTTGTCATGTTCCATTACACAGGATAGTTTTTCTGTCATGCTCCATTACACAGGATAGTTTTTCTGTCATGCTCCATTACACAGGATAGTTTTTCTGTCATGCTCCATTACACAGGATAGTTTTTCTGTCATGCTCCATCACACAGGATAGTTTTCCTGTCATACACCATCGCATAGGATGGTTTTCTCGTCACACTATCTATACAAACAATGATTTTGATATACAACACAATGAAATCTTTCAGCATGAGCATGACGACTTCAGTAGTGTTATCAGAATATCAAGTACTCCTGTAGCTTTAAAGGTGTCTCCAGTAGGCTGGAGTTAACAATTCAATGTGATTCAAATTTGAATGGCCTACCATTGACTCAACAGAAACGACGCCATCATCATGATTAAAATAAATAGGCGTATATTATAGGTTACACTGAGGATGATAAATGACACATGCATTGTGTAAAACACACACACACACACACACAAACCTCGCTCAAGGAGGAAGATCTTGGGTTGAGTATAACACCGAGCATGTCACCGGAAGCACATATCAACCAGATAACTGCTGCAGCATATGGGCGCCTGGCAAACCTGGGAATAGCGTTCCGATGCCATAGTAAGGAATCGTTCAAGACACTGTACACCGTGTACGTCAGGCGCATACTGGAGTATGCAGCACCAGTTTGGAACCCACACTTGATCAAGCACGTCAAGAAATTAGAGAAAGTGCAAAGGTTTGCGACAAGGTTAGTTCCAGAGCTAAGAGGAATGTCCTACGAAGAAAGGTTAAGGGAAATTGGTCTGACGACACTGGAGGACAGGAGGGTTAGGGAAGACATGATAACGACATACAAAATACAGCGTGGAATAGACAAGGTGGACAGAGACAGGATGTTCCAGAGAGGGGACACAGAAGTAAGGGGTCACAATTGAAAGTTGAAGACCCAGATGAGTCAAAGGGATGTTAGGAAGTATTTCTTCAGTCATAGAGAAGTCAGGAAGTGGAATAGCCTAGCAAGTGAGGAAGTGGAGGCAGGAACCATACATAGCTTTAAGATGAGGTATGATAAAGCTCATGGAGCAGGGAGAGAGAGGACCTAATAGCATTCGGTGAAGAGGCGGGACCAGAAGCTCAGTCTCGACCCCTGCAACCACAATTAGGTGAGTACAATTTGGTGAGTATACACACACACACACACACACACACACACACACACACACACACACACACACACACACACACACACACACAATTGGGTCACAATTGGAAGTTGAAGACTCAGATTAGTCAAAGGGATGTTAGGAAGTATTTCTTCACTCATAGAGTTGTCAGGAAGTGGAATAATCTAGCAAGTGATGTAGTGGAGGCAGGAACCATATATAGCTTTAAGACGAGGTATGATAAAGCTCATGGAGCAGGGAGAGAGAGGACCTAGTAGCGATCAATGAAGAGGCGAGGATAGGAGCTGAGCCTCGACCCCTGCAACCACAGGTAGGTGAGTACACGCACACACATCCTGTGTCACAAACCTACTGGAGTTTTATGACAAGGTAACGGAAGTAAGACACAAGAGAGAGGGGTGGGTAGATTGCATATTCTTGGATTGCAAGAAGGCCTTCGACACTGTTCTTCACAAGAGATTAGTGCAAAAGCTAGAGGATCAGGCACGTATATCAGGAAGGGCACTGCAGTGGATCAGAGAATACCTGACAGGGAGACAACAACGAGTCATGGTACGTGACGAGATATCACAGTGGGCGCCTGTGACGAGTGGGGTTCCACAGGCGTCAGTCCTTGTTTGCAGATGATATGAAGTTAATAAGGAGAATTAAATCAGATGAGGACCAGACAGGACTACAAAGAGACCTCGACAGACTGGAAGCTTGGTCCAGCAAATGGCTCATCGAATTTAACCCCGTAAAATGCAAAGTCATGAAGATCGGGGAAAGGCAAAGAAGACCGCAGACAGAGTACAGGCTAGGTGGCCAAAGACTGCAAACCTCACTCAAGGAAAAGGATCTTGGGGTAAGTATAATACCGAGCACATCTCCTGAAGCGCACATCAACCGGATAACTGCTGCAGCATACGGGAGCCTGACAAACCTGAGAAGTGTTCAGATACCTCAGCAAGGAATCGTTCAAGACTTTGTACACCGTGTACGTCAGGCCCATACTGGAGTATGCAGCACCAGTTTGGAACCCACACCTGGTCAAGCACGTCAAGAAATTAGAGAAAGTGCAAAGGTTTGCAAATAATAGATTATGTAGAACAGGATGATAATAAACTATGTACGATTGCGGTAACTAGTGACATGGTCCTCAGACAAATAGAGAAACTAAAACCTAACAAATTCCCAGGCCCTGATGAACTGTTTGCAAGGGTGTTAAAGGAATGTAAAGAGGAACTTAGCATACCTTTAGCTAATCTTTTTAACATATCACTACAAACTGGCATAGTGCCTGATAAGTGGAAAATGGCAAATGTAATACCTATTTACAAGGTAGGTGACAGGTCCTTGGCTTCGAACTATAGACCAATAAGCCTTACCTCCATAGTGGGAAAATTTATGGAATCAATAATTGCCGAAGCAATTCGTAGCCATCTTGACAGGCACAGAGTGATTAATGAATCTCAGCACGATTTTACAAAGGGGTTTTCCTGTCTTACGAATTTACTAACTTTTTTCACTAAGGTGTTTGAGGAGGTAGATCATGGTAATGAATATGATATTGTGTATATGGACTTCAGTAAGGCTTTCGATAGAGTTCCACACCAGAGGCTATTGAGGAAACTTAAGGCACACGGAATAGGAGGAGAAATTTTTTCCTGGGTAGAGGCATGGCTGACAGCAGAGAGTTTACATAAATGGGGAGAAATCAGAATGGGGGCACGTCACAAACGGTGTTCCTCAGGGGTCAGTGTTGGGCCCGTTGTTGTTCACAATTTACATAAACGACATAGATGAGGGAATAAATAGCGACATCAGCAAATTTGCTGATGACACCAAAATAGGCCGTCAAATTCATTCTAATGAGGACACTAGAGCACTCCAGGATGATTTGAATAGACTGATACAATGGTCGGAGAAGTGGCAGATGCAGTTTAATATTGACAAATGCAAAGTTCTAAATGTTGGACAG